ACAAGTGGATTGGTTTGCACATGGTGATGGTGTTCTTAAACAACAGCCCCAACTGCAAGAAAACATGCTCTGTTCTGTCATTTTGATGGATCATCAAAATGTATCGGGGACATGCATATTTTTAGCTGCATCATGGTAAATAATGACACATTTATAGCTTATTATTCCTACCCAGTTGGGTTAATCTGTCCTCCCATCCAACACCTCTATGATATTACAGAAGCCAACAAGGGTGGTAAAAGCATGCAGCTTGCCCTAGAGGAGCCGTATGGATGCCACATGCTGCCCTAGAGGCTGCTGCGGCCTTTGGTGGATGCAAAGCTGGATGCCCCTCCGAAAGCTGAAAGAGGTCTCTCAAACAGGCACTCCTGCACTGTCCCAAGACTGGACTGTTTAGGGTGCAGCTGTACTTTCTACTGAGGAGACAGGGGAATAATGCTGCCTCTGAATTTGGGTATATGGAGTTATCTTTGCTTTCCCTCCAGCCAAGTGGGAGTTTCTGAGTGGTGGGGACATATCTCAGTGTTGAGCTGTATCATGCAATGCTGCACAACAGTGGGGAACCACTGGAAACGCAAGATGATCTGAGCTCCGCTTTGGATACATGTCTTTCTTACCATGTATCAGGAGGGCTAATTAAAGACTTAACCACAGTGGGCTGAGACATAAGCCATGTGCTTGTCTGAGATCCATTTGCGCAAATTAGAAAAAAATGAGTGAGGTTTCTTTTTTTTCAGGAAGAATTGTCAAATTTGTGCCTTTTTTTTTCCCCACAGATGGCAGCTGGATTCTGAAATTACCTTTCTTAAAATAAAATGCCCTCACAGTTCTTCTTTATTACCATGTTATCCACAAGAATCTCACTAACCTTCACAAATCAAATCTGCCTGCCACATGACCTCCATTATGGACCATACTCTTGCCTTCACTAATATCAGTCTAAAACACCACCGACTCTGCTAACTTCATAATTTTCCTTTTGATTTACATGAGTGCAAAACTGAAAAGTTTGACCTTTCAAATAATTTATTTTCCATTTTTTTTTGTAGCTGCAGATCAAACCCAAGATCCTCTCTGAGTTCCAGTAGAATGATCCACATGAGAAAAATACCACCCCATCAATAAACTCCAATCTAAATTTCTCCAACTTTCCCTCATGTCCCATTCATTAAAATATTTCTTTATGTTTACGTTCTTCCTACAAAGGGTTTGTGACATTTTCATTTAAAGGAAGTGATATCAGAATTAATTAAAATAAATTTTAAAATCCTTGGAAATGTGATGCTGCTGATTTGAAAGTTAGTGTTCCCAGGACATATGTGTATGTGCAAGATCAACACTGGAAGACAATTAACACAATAAATATCACCTAAAATTGTTAGATGTATCTTTTCTGACCTGATTATCCATTTCTTACACTGTATTTATTCTGCTGGAAGAAATAAACAATCATTAAAAATGTGAATCTGTGAAGAAAAAATGTAAACAAGCAAGCAAGGTCTTAATCAAAAATGATCCTTTGAGCATCCTGTTATTTGGACTGAAGTCTTTTGATCTCAGGCCTAGTGATGAGATAGTCACTTCACGGAACTTAAGGGAGTTTTATTGGTATAAAACTGGCATAGGGTAAAGGTCAGCCTATTTAATTTTAACAAGTGAAGTCAGATTGTTTACTACTCAATTTACAGACTGAAAGTGCATTCTGCAGTGTTTATCCATTGGGAGAAACAGAAAAAAAGAGACAACCCTAGTTTCCCCCAGGAATACTCTGCAATTGGGGACTGCTTAGCAATTGCACTAATAAAACATTTAAAGAAGCATCAGGGCTTAAGCTACTCAAAGCTTATTAGATAATTAGTCTGATTGTCACTTAGGACTTGATGCTGAGAGGTGCTGAGCAAAGTGCCAAGATCCTCAAGTGAATAGTCCATGAAAACTGCATCCTTCAATTTAAATGCAAGCTCTGGTACAGAAGTGGGAGGATACCAGATCAAGTTACAGGGAGATTTGGAAATCTCAGTCTACATTTTTTTTTTTAAATACTCCTTTTAAATATTTGTTGTTCACTGAGGCTAAGAAAATTCCATTCATTTCTCCATGCTGTTGCCCTTTTAAGGAGGCAGAGAGGCATTTTATTATTCCCCTCTGATGCATATACAAGCACCAAACCCCACAACTGAACAGTGAAACAAACAGTAAATTATTTCAATCCTCTTAATTCTCTGCTTTTTTGGCAGATAATGCTGTAAGTCATTTTATCTTAGCAGCCACAGACTCGAGAGAGATTTCTTTTTAAACCTTGGAAATGCTTAAATTGAATGAAATAACAGAAGAAATATTTTTTACCTAAGCAGGGAGAAAATAAAAGGAGAACTTTTCAAATATTACAGTGGCTATCAACTCATTCTTTTCATGTCTTTTTGCAATGAGTCTGAATACTAGCTTAGGAGAGCAGCTTTCCCCCATTCAATCCACATACATGCAGCGCAAAGTCCCATGAAACTCAGTAAACTGAAATAACCTTTTCCTCCAAAATCCTTCCCTGAAATTCTTGAATAGTTGCCTGTGGTTGAACTGGAATGCATTTGGAAAGGTTTGAATTAAGTGCAGCTAGCCCAAAAGACGGTTTGGCTTCCTACAGAGGTGTAAAGGATAAAAAAAGGGATTGTGGTGGACAGTGCATTGTTATTGCAAGTTATGCAGTGAGCTGAAAGGACACTGGAATAGCCATCAAAGTTCCCAAGAACTGCTCCCTCCCAGATGAGCTAATAGAGCAGCTCTGAGCTCTGAGGTTAACTGAAATCAAATTTAACAGTGCTGTAAAATAAATTTGCTGCATTTGACTTCTTTCTAAAGTTAGAGCAGTGATTCTGCTGACCCTATTATCAGTAACAGCTCAATTTAACTCAAACACATTATCTGCATGAAGATGATCACAAAGTTTTACCTAAAGCACATATGACAAACTGTAACCTTTGCAGAGATCAAGGTGTTTTCAGATGTTCTAAGAATCAGAAAGCATCGATCTGAAATCTATGAAATCTTTCATCGGGTTTTCAAATATCTTTATTTAAATAACACTCAGAAGGAAGGCGTCATTTGTCCAGTACTGTTTCATTAACAGCCTTACATGATATGTGATTATTTGTAAAAGCAGGTTAGCCCCAAGAAGAAAGACCTTGAAGGTTCTTTCCAGCCCTGTGTAATGGAAAGAAGACACTGGAACAATGAGAGGCTTCCTGCTGTAAAGGATCAGCATCTCATTAATTTGTTCTATAACTTGAATATGTATCATTTTATGTCCCCATAAATTTTTCAGGTACAATGCTAATATTAATTATTGATTGGGTGTAGAACTGTCGACTCCCACTGAATGCAATTAATAACGTGTCAAATTGGGAGATAATAAATGTATGTTCTTTGAAAGTGAGTTAGTATGCATCAGATGCTTATATTTTCCATTCTCAAGAACTGATTTATAATTTTTAAAATTTGTTTTCATTACAATTTTTGAGGGTAAAAAGGAATTTTATACCTTAAGGCTGTATTCTCTTCATTCATTTGAAAGACCACAGAGGTGCAACACAGAAGAAAGTTTGCACAGCTTACAGTGCCTCTGTAGATCTGTTGGACTTTTTCCCACAGACAAAGCCTCATCCTGAATAGTGCCATTTTCCACATCTCTACAGGAGCCCATACCATCTGCCAGGCCTTGGCTAAGTTGGGGTTGTAAACAGTAGAGTAGATGTGAGCAGAAACATGAACACAGGCTACAAAACCAGGAACCACATGAGTTACATCTCCCTTGACAGCTGAGGCTGTAAGAATATAGTCCATGGAAGCCAAGAGACTCCAGTTAACTTGGCTGGGAGCAGGAGCTGACTGCAGGAGCACAGGAGTCTCAGCTATTAAATTGAGATCTAAGCGTAACTCTGACCCATGACCATGAATAACAAAAGTCTCACTGATTTCAAGTAGAGGCGGCTTGGGTCTATTTACTGTAACTGAATCAATTCTCAGAAAAATAATTAATTCCTTGTCATGTCTCGTGTATTGATTTTTGTAATTACAATGAAATTGAAGGCAAGGGTGGGGGAAAGAAAATGCACTTGATTTATGTTTAATTTGATGCACAAGTTGTCAAGGACAAGGAAATTGAGATGCAATGGCCACACCCATCTTCAATGCACTCCTCTGTGCTTAGATGACGAGTGCCAGACACATGCTGTAGTGGAGAATCTAAAATCACATGCTACTCTAACGTACAGAATTGAGTATTGTGGTATAAAGGGCTGTGTTTCTACAGCAGCCTCCACAGCATGCAGAAGAGATACCCAAGGGGAAGAAGATAAGGACAGGACAAGCTTCATGTGTATCAATAACTAAGAGGAGGAGACAAAGAATTAGAATGGAGGAGAAAAGAAATACAAGCTGTTGCTGATTATAAAGCTGCCAGTAGATAATGTAAGGAAAAAAAAAAAAAAGACTAAGAAAAAAGAAATTACATATGGCCTTGGTCGGTAATGATACCATTAGGAAAAAGACAGCAGCAGGAGAGCATTTAAACTTTGTTTCTACTGTGCTTTCACTAAAATGGCAAGTTAGAAAATTTTTGACCTACAGTCAGTCAGTATTTAATGACTTAATTAGGTGACAGTCTCCTTTTCCAAACATGTTTGTGGGAGTGGTTGGCCTGTTTCCACACACACAGAGAGATTTGATAATAATACTCCATTTCTAGTGCTTCTACAGCATCAGAGATTAGTTTGTCATAAAGCTATTCTCATTACTTACCCAGATACAGTATGACATTTTGGGCCCATTAAAGCCAATGCCTACTTTGATTTCATCATGACCACAAGAAACTGAAGAACTATTCCCAACCTTTTGCCTAAAAGTATCAGTTCAGGCAGTAATCCAAGTCTTATAGAAGAAAAAAAGCTTTTTGTTACACACTAGCCCTGCAAATGAAATCTGCAAAACAGTCTCACATCCAAACATTAGAAATGATACATATGAGGGAGAGACAGTGTTTCAGGGTGTAAATCAGTTCTGAGCTAAGTACTTCCATCTAAACACATGATATTTTAAACAAAAATCAAGCCCTCTGACTCCCAGTACAGGGAACTAATTTGCATCCGGTTTGTGCAGTTTCTAAAAGCTTTTGTCTAAAATGTCAGCACTCTAAGGCAAATTTACCTCTGGTGACCTACACACACCACAACAGAGAAAGCCGCAAACTCATACTTTAAAAAAAAAGAACAAACCCACTAAAAAAAACCCAACATCTCACTGGTGTGGCAGCCTGTTGGCAACACTTCGTGAAACAATAATCTTCCTGGCTATGACAGAGCTCTGTGCACAAAATCATAACACAACAAACTGTGAGTCACTAATAAATAACCAAATGACAGTGATCAATGATGGCAAATCTGTCTCTAATGGAATTATTGGTAAAAATACTAAAAATTCTTTCCCTCTTGATATATTAAACTCTTTGTTTAGGGGTAGAGTTGATACTACCAGAAAACGCTTTTAACACAGATAGCATAAATTTTAGTGGGCATTTGAATACTGAAGCACGAGAGACTGGCCTGTTAAAAAGCTGACCCTAGAAAGGCTGCTGCTGGCATAAAATACATCGGTTCTTCTCAGCTGGGAAATCATTTGATCTATTTTATATCACACACCCTGTCACTACAGAAGCAAATATGGATATGAAATATGAACATGAAGCAAAACATAAAAAGAGACTTAATAAAATGAGTAATTATGTTTTGCCTAAATCCTCTCATGCCAGAAAGAGGCACATACCATCATAAATTCAGCGAAGTCTGCCCATTCCAGCATGTGGGAAAGGAAAAAAAACCCTGCAGCCAGGCCCTGTGAAGCACATTACTGCAGAGGGTTTTCTCAGGAGAAATTGAGAGCACTGACTGAGGAGTGCTGATTACTGCAGTGTTTTAACTGATGGCCAGATGCAGGGGAAGACAAGGGATCTGGAGCTGCTCTGTGCCATGACCTCATGCTTGGCACGTGGACAGCTGATGGAAGAACCTAATGCTACCAGTCTAGCACTATCTTTCAAAATGCAACCCACACCCTTAGTGACAAATTTTCAGTGCTTATATGCTAATTCTCAATTAATCAATAAATTAAAAAAAAAAAAAAGAAAAAAAAAAAAAAAAAGAAAGGACACAGAGAAGTAATCAAGTGCCCAAGTATTTGTGAAGAGCTGGTGTTAGAAGTCGTAACAGATTATTCTCTGAAATATTTTCAGTGTTTAAATTCCAGGGTTTTTTTGTTCATGTGCCTGAGAAGCTCATGATCCTACAGCATCAAATATAAAAGACAATATTATGTATAGTCTTTACACTCAGATGTCCACAACATGGAAAAGTTCCAGCTTATTTCTAAATATGATTTTAAAAAGATGAGTAGAAAATCAGAAATGCAAACTCCCCCCCCAACTATTGTAAACTTCTAGCTATTCAGACCTTGGCCTAATTTATTCTCTGGATACTTCACAGAAATGACATGACAACACTGATTAACTGACACCCAATGCTAGAATTCAAGCTATAACACAAGCACGGAAACATTAGGACTGTGAACACAGACAAGAAATGAAAAGCGAAGCCTAGAATACATGTTCGAGTAAGTGCAGAAAAAATGAAAGCAGACATGACACAATGGGCTGTGAAGAATCATACCTGGATATGAACTCTGCTGAAAACAAGTCTCCCTCCATACGTAAGTCTGATTATATAGTTACCTTGGTCTTCCTACAGGAAAATTGTGTACAAGTGGAGGACTCTGAACCTCCTCTACTGAATTCAATGGCAAAACTGCCACCAGCTTCCCTAGGAGCAAGTGTCAGCCCGCAATCTTTAGATGAAAAACTGTATTTCAGAATATTACAAGTAGATGCAGTGCACAAAATCAAATAGAGGAAATCCAGTAAGCAATGTAGACTATTAAGCACTAATATTACAAAAACGCTCATTCTTTTCCACGAAAATACATCCTCATCAATTATCACAAATACGTGCGGCAAGCATGCTAAAAAGATATCTCTTTTTCTTTTCAATGTAAACTGTGTTTTGGGTTTGTACCTCTGAAGCACAATAAGAGTGAAGGGCACACTCTGCTGGTCAGAAGCACCATTTACACTGAGAGCTTTTTAATAATATGAGGACTAAAAAATAAAACCCGTTATATGACATCTGGACTTGAAGTGGTGCTCCATACTACGCTGCTACTTGACTTTTTTTCATCCTGAATATTAGAGACAATGGCTATGACGCTATGACTGGACTTTCTCATGTTTAAACATCAGCCTACCTGCTGTAAGAACACTTTATTTCCTGAAAGACATTTTTTAGCAGCATATCATTGTTCAAAAACTCTTTACCTTAGGCTTTTCATCCAATATTTGCTGACGAATCTCCTTGTGCTTTTCTACAAGTTTCTCCTGTCTTTTACTCTGCGCATCTTCTAGCTGTAAGAAAATAGCAGAGAATCTTTTTTTCAGAGATTGCACATCCTCACTTTCCCACCTCTTTCCCAACAAATATTTCATCCATCAATATTAAACTGTTATCATCAAAACTATGAATAATTCTAATATCAACTTAGACACTGTTGCCACAAGCATCCCCAAGCACAGCTGCTCTAACAATTATGTGTGCACAATGTATCTCAGATTTCACACACAGGATTTAGAATCAGGAATGTCTAAAGGACTTACTGTAGACTTTTTTAAAAAAAATCATATTATTTTGCTTTCATTGTTATTGTAAGAGCTGTGCAAGATGGACCCTGTTCCCACAAGAAGAGGACTGGCATCCTAGACTCCTAAATGAACACGCTGATAAATTCTGAGCCTCATTTAATAAAGCACTCAGACATTTGTCTGACTCCAACAGGAATTAAGCATACTTGATTTGCTAATTCTTTAGGTTGCTTCTTGAATAAAGGCCTCTGTCACCAAAAATGGGCCAACTTTTGAACTGAACTATCTCTGCACTGAAATTAAAAGAAAATTCAATAGAGGCGTATGTTTCATTGTGATTTCAAACGACAACACTGCGGTGCATACTTTCAGCCAAGCGTAAACCACCCATAGCTTCAGAAAAAACTAACACCTGTAACAAAATTCTTTGATTTATATTTACAGAGCTCATAGAATGCTTTTTGCATTTCAGTAACTGTACAAATTAATTAAGGTTAAAATATACTCTGCAGTTAAATGTTTATTGACTTTCAGAGTTCCTTATGCAATCTTTGCATTCATGAGACAGCAAGACAATTAAAACAATTGGTATATTTTCCATGAATAAACACAGGATATTAAAAGATTAAATCATAACTGTATTAAAATCTGACCCTCTTAGCACCATCCCCCAACCACTAACAATTAATCAAGATCTGTCTAAAATCCCAGTTTTCCTTTAACTAAAAAGTGAAGTCTAGACTGCATCTGTTAAAAATCAGCACTTGCAGAATCTTTATACCAAAACTTAGAATCTGCAGTTTAATATGACCTGAAATATGAAAACTGACATTTTATCCCCCAAAATGAAAAATAAACATATGGCCTGACATACCCGTTTTATGTACTGCACCACCTCCTGGATATATGATCGAATCATTTCAGTCTTCTCTCTGGGGAGAAGCAATTGACAAGTTATGGCAGTCAATAAGATCACACCGATATATTTTAACACACCACAACTCCTTAAAAAATAAGTAAGGCTATGTTTTGAACGTACAGATCTGCCTACTTCACTTTTATCCACTTCTTGAATGTGCCTTTTGTAACAGGCTGCATCTTTATTGTATGAAGGGCTCAGATGTCCCCACGACCTACCACAACAACCCCCCTGCTCTTTCACAACAGGCTTTTCCCATACAGTACTGCCACGTCTTCAAAGTGATAGCAGTGTTCCTTAAAATCCAAATGTCAGTCTAGGAGAGCACATGATCATCGGTAGGTGCACACTGCCCCATTGTGGCACCTTACATAGTAGAAAAATAGTCCGTCAGCGAGCAGATACTGCTGGTGACATCTCAGAGACAACGGCAAACCTCCGACAAAGAGCAGGGCAGACTCAACTTCAGTCCCCCGCTTTGCTATGTAAACCACATAAAGCTAAACTTGGAGGAAATACATGAATTTTAAGCGATTCTGTGAGATAGTTATTAGGTAACTGTTGGTCAAAGGCTGAAGATGAGATCCCCCAGAAGCATAAATGCACATAAAATAACAAATTTGTGGATACCTGAATTGACCAGATTCAGGACAGTACTCTAAAGCCTAATTGCCTAAGTCAAGAACAGTGAATGGCTGTTCTGGTGGTACTAAAATCTGACGGTTTTAGGTAGTTACACAAGCCATGGGTGCATGTAGGAATTAGAAAAAATTAAGTAAGAACAATAAATACAATGTATAATATCTGTAATATTCTTTCACAAATTTGTGTAAAAGTTTTAGATGAAAAAACAGCCTAGCCCAGATGACTTGAATGGGATTCACCAGAAAGTCTCGCTACTGTCCTGCTGCGAGAGTGAGGACAAACTGTGTTGCCTGACAGAGGAAAGCTGAGTTTCCTGTGTAGTTCCCATCTTACCTTTCCCAAGGACTCTTTGAAAAGCCTGGCAAAGGAAAGCCCTTGGGAAAAATGAGAAAAAAATAAAAGGAAAACAAAAAAGAATTTCCACTTGTCTGTTTCTGAGCATTTCTCACTAGTGTCTCATTAACTTCTCCGCAAATCATTTCCTATTGCAATTGATTTTTACTGCTATAACATTTCTGCAATGACTAACTACTTCTTTCTAATACAGTTTCTATGCCCTCTGATCAGCTCTAACTATATTAAGTATTTCTCCTTTTTTTCATAATAAATTATCCTCTTTTTGTTATCTTTTTTCTAGGATGTTTATTAAAATTATATAATATTGATTCTTAAGTTATTTGATGCAGTTCATTGTGTGTGTGACCTTCCTTCAGTGTTACCAGATACACAGATTCTATATTGAAAAGCTCCAAAGCCTGTATGAACCTTTTTACCTGCAGAAAACCCAACACAATTGCATCTTTGTTACATGGTAAAACTCAGGTATTCTGGATTTTTCCTTCTTTTTTTTTCCCCTCCTGTATTTTTAATTGTCCTTAAATGTTACTAAAATAAAGACTGGTAACAAGAATATCCCAGCAAACAGTGCAAGATTAAAATGCTCCATTTTCTTTTTGAGCTGCTTGCCAAAACAAATGAAGGAGGACAAACAAACCTAGATACTGTGCCCTTGGGAAGAATATAATCAACTTGCACAACTACAGTTTGTATTGTCTGGTGGTGCATAAATGAAATTAATATTCCTGTCCCTGTTCACAGAAACTGTACCCTCAGAGCTCAGGTTTCCTCTCCTTTCCACCTGGAGTAACTGCACACTGCATAACACTGTCACTGGAGGAGAATCAGTAGCACAGCATCTGAAAGGAACTTATCACAGAAGTAGAGCAAACCTTCCAGTGTGTTTCTGCTATTTCTTCTGGAGAGCAGCTTTAAGAGACTTATGAAGAAAAGATACCTCACAAATAAAAACCTAAGTTAAGGTGAAATCAAACCCTGCAGGAACTGAAGCCACTAAGCCTATTTGTACTGAGGAATAGCATCTGGATTAACAGCACCTTGGTGAATCTCTCCGTCATGCCACTCATAGGCACGTCCCCATACCACACATCAGCACCTTCACAGCTGACCCAGACTCTCAAAGCTCGCAGAACAGGAGATTAGATTAGTCCCAGGAGATTAAATTAGTATCAGCAGAAGTAAGGAGGACTCCACTGCTCTGGTGAGGTATTACAGTCTGACTAAAAGCTGCCTTGTATTTAGGCTTAAAATTTTTCACAACTGAAAAAATCAAAGAAAGATCTTGTGTCTCCTCATAACATATAAGGATATGGATCTAGGGATATACTTACTCTTCCATTTGATTTTTATCCTTGGACTTTGCTTCTGTGATCTTCTCCTGCCTCTTCTTGTCCATTTTTTTCTTCAATTCTTTCTTTTCTCTAAAGCATGAAAAATAAAGGCAAGTTCAAAATGTATCTAAACAAAACCCACATGGAGAAGTAATCAATTATAAGGAGAATAGCACCTTACTTTTCACAAGTTTCCTTCAGTTTCTTTAGCTGGCTGTTCTGACACTCCTCCGCTACATCTGTCAACTTCTGAATAAGCTAAAAAAACCAAAAAAACCCCAAGAAACAACAATTACACCATTCCCTGATTAATTACCAATGAACAAAAGCCTGTAAAAATTCTTAGTAGGTGTAAATGCATTCTTAACTTGGGAAGTCCAGCCAGACTTGTGTATATCCAATTTACATTGAAACGACTACTTCTCTGTACATCAAGGTGATATATTTTCAGAATATTAAGTTTAAAACCAAAATATATTTTGCAGATTTTACCTTTGCTAGGAACTAAAATGCCTATGACAATTCATCAATGGTCACAAATTGAATTTACACAATATAAATTACAAACGGAATTCCTATGTCACTGAATATTCAAGGTTTTCTGTGAGTGCTGAAAACATTCCTCTTACATTCAGAATCACTACATGAAACAGCTTGGATTTCAGGGTAGTCAGGTGGATATTGAAAATTCATGCAGGATAGCTAAGAAAGCTAACTATAGATAAGCATAGCCTACATTTTGATCACAGAATGACGGATTCAAAAAATCTGAGTTGTTGGTTTGAAACCTGTTGTGCAGCGCTGGGTCCAATCTCATTTGGATTGAAACTGCTAACAAAAAGCATGCTTGCGGTGGTGATGCTGACGGACAGGGCTTGTGTGCAAGTTCAATGAATGGTGAATTAAAGTGGGAAATGGGGCCACTTTGGTTTGATCACCCCCTCTAGTTTAAGTCTGATTCTGTAAAATAATCTTCAGGATGATGAACCAGAGAATGTATAATAATGCCTAGCTAGCCTGATCCAGCTTTTCATTCCTTAGATAAAAGAAGAAAGAAACTGACAATAGCCTGTCCTCTAAAAGACAGACATCAGAAAGAATCTCTTGGCTGCAAAGCAGACTTTAATGGGAATATTAACTCCTGCACAGCTCAGAAGGAAAACCGTCTGGAGCTTCTGTGCTAAAATATGAATTTATCCTGACACTACCTAACTGAACAATGGATAAAATGTAACTTCGCTTTGAGAAATGCCATTTCCCATTTTGAAATGAGAAATTAGTTAGCTTTCAGTATAAACTCAACTATGTGGATTCAAAACTGTTTGTTTTCATAAAAAATAAAATCCCTGAGATGCAAGCAACAACTGTTATTTGAATGTGCTCTCTCTCCCTGCAGCACAGGTAACCACGTCAATGCACCCACACTGGAGCAGGTGCTGTTGGGTAATGCTGAAGCGATTCACATACAGCTGATGATAAACAGGGCACAGCTTGGGAACTGCAGCACCATGCTATGATCCATGGGAATGAATTTGTGAAAAGGCCTTGCTCAGCAATATCCACACATATCACTCCTCTGACCTGCTGTTTTTTGATGGCAGGGCAGAGTAGACAAATCACTTCATTCAACAGTAATGAGGCAAAATATCATATAATAGAAAAAAATTGTGAGAGAATTGTCCGGAGTTGAGAAACAGTCTGCACTCCCATAACACCCTTTAAAAATGTTGTTTTCTGCCTGAGAATATCCATCAGCATCAGCTGCCATCTGCCCAAGCGCCTCTATTTCAGCTCAGAGGGCCTATGATCCTGCTGTAGTTGTCAGCCAAATTCCAGCTGTAAAAACACAAGCTGGCTTGGACTGATGGGTGCAAAATATTTCTTCACCATACACAGATTATGTCCTGCATTCCCTTAAAGCATTCATCTGCAAGAGGAACACTGTTTGACACAACTCTGTGCCCTGGGGAGTGTTTGAATCTACTTTCATTTATTTATTTTCATGGTGTTTCAATTTATTTTCCAGCTAATCCTGATACCTTGAGTGTTGTACATTTAAAAAAGTGGCAGAACAACATGAGAACTTCGTCCAAAAGCTGCAATAAACCGAGAGTTAAGTAACTAGACGTTAAGGACTTCTCTGCGTTAGCAGTAGTAATAATCCTGTTGCCTTTCTGTCTTCCACCCAAAGCCTCCCAAGTTCTTAGAAACGTTAGTGACAAAGTGACACAACAACCCCTTGAAGTTGCAGCAGACCACAGGGAAATCAAGCTCTGAAATGGACTCCATGTAAGAGGAAGACCCACTTAATTATAGTGTCATGCTGCTTGCTAAAGAAAAGCAGGCGACATAACAAACGTACCAGCTTAATGTGCTCTCGTTTCTGGTACTTTTCACTGTAATACTGCTCCTGTCGGAGATTTAACAGCTGCTGTTGTTGCTTCTCCTTGAGCTCGACTAGCTTCTGGGTCATTTCAGAGTCAAGTGCAGCTAATTCCTGTTCAATAGTTGAAGAAGTGTGGTCTGGGCTGCCAGTTTCAGATCTGCAAAGACAAACACACACCACCAGGGTCTAAGTCACTAGACATGTATGCTCTGCCCCATATTTAAACCTTGTTTTTAAGGCAGCTGATTATATGTAGCCCATTAAGAAGTTTCTCAGCACCACATACAGGGCCAGAAGATGATGTTAGCTCTAGGAAGCCCAATAATTTCATCTTTTAGGAAAAAAATCATAGAATAGTTTGGGTTGGAAGGGACCTTTGAAGGTCATCTAGTCCAACCCCCCTGCAATGAGCAGGGACATCTTCAACTAAATGAGGTTGTTCAGAGCCCCATCCAACCTGGCCTTGAACGTTTCCAGGGGTGGGGCATCTACCACCTCTCTGGGCAACCTGTGCCAGTGTTTCACCACCGTAAGAGAGAAAAATTTCTTCCTTATATCTAGTCTAAATCTACGCTCTTTTAGTTTAAAACCATTACCCCTTGTCCTATTGCAATCGACCCTACTAAAAAGTCCATCCCCAAAATGGTGTTAAGAGTTTATTAGTGGGATGGCTATTGCTTTTAAACCTCATTTTACTAACCCATCATGGTGGTGTGAACTGGACTTAGTATAAATGAGCTACAAATGCAGCTGCCAAGAATTCCCATGAACAGATGCCCCTGGAACTTGTTTACCCACCTCCAGATATGTAACTTGAACTTCAAAGCTGCAACATCCTCAGCAGAAATGGTGCATGTTAAGTATTTTGAAAACACAGTCATTTTTGCATACACTTAACAATTAATTTAGGAGCATAAATTTACCTCTGCATTTATAAAATGCTTGAAGTGGTAGGAACATCCCTTTATTTGGTATTTTCTACCCCCTTCAGGGAACGGCATGCATAGCACACAGAGGAAAGTGCTGACTTCAGGAGGAAAGTTAACACCCCAGCAGGGAGTAAACCTCAGAAAGGCAGCACATAGGAGCAAAGGAAAAACATAATGGGGAAGCTAAAATTTACATTAAGGAACAGTTTTGGGTTTTTTTTCTTTCTTAAGACAGAATGAAGGATAGATGCAATTGTGAAAGGAGACATGACATGACAACACTTGAACAAGTGTTCAAGGAAAAAAAATGCAAAAAACCAGTATCATTCTCAGGCCAGCAGTAAACTAAAACCAAGAAAAACATTTAAAAAAAAAAATGCTGTGTCCCTGCTCTGCTGCTGTGTTTACTGCTGTACTCGGGTGTTAAATCAGTTGCCTGGGAAACCTCAGGAACAGTGCAAAACAGCAAAACCTGAAACAGAGAGGGCTGACACTGTGAGAAAAATGAGTTCGCTACTCAGAAATTTGCAGAGATTACAATGCAGAGAACTTGCTACACCGGCTGCCTCTCTCTCCCCCCCAGGTTCAAGTTTGCAGCTGCTGTGAATTAGAGTAACTTCAGCTGAAATACTGTGAAGCTGCTTTCATCAGTCTGAGAATATAAGCCAAGGCAGCCTCTTTTTATTTCTTGTATTTTTAGTGTATTTGAATATTCTGCTAAGAGGTTAAGTAGTGTCAGCGTGATAGGTGAGAACAATTTAAATACAGAGCCAGAAGACAGCACTGATGAGTATTAAAGTCAGCATATTATGCCATTACACTATACATTTTAAAGCTGACATTTCCCTTGTATTTTTGGGAAAAAGAAATAAGGCCTATTTCTAAATGCTGGAAAAAATACTAAGATTGTGTTTTAAGGGACATGATCACTAAAGAAACTTCAGACCACCACTAGCAAAACACTTCTGCATGATACTTCAAACTTCCTATAGACCACGGCTTTACTGAATCTTGGTCCAATTTTAGACAAGGGCATGAAACATGGCTTTCTTCTGACCAGAGAAAACACATTTGTATGGCAATCTGATACAGGGACTCCTGATTAAGTAGTGATTTATGCTTTGCAGTTACAGGCAAATGGCTTCAGTATAATTTAAAATGATAAAAATCACCTTTTTCCTTGGGATGCAGTGTTCTAAAAGAAACCTTCTGCTTGAGATAGTATGTACTTGCAAGTTTGAAAATCCCTAAGAAATATATTCCCACCTTTTTAAAATTCAACCTCAGATTTCTTAACCATCAGATTTCTCTGTATCTGCACGTAAAGCTTTACATCTCTGAAGTCACTGTGAGAGCTCCATGTAATAGACTGCAGGGTTTTATTATCTGATATCATAAATGATTTATGGTGAGATCCTAACAAAATAAAAACCCCCAAATCCTATTTACTCAAAGATAAAAGAGTAATTTTATTTATTCAGTTTCTTTTTCTGTTTAAATTTGAATAGAATATGCTATAGAAAAGAAACATGAAATTGTTTTGTCTGCCACTATCTGTCACACACATTGATGATGTAAAATACAGCAGATACGATAACACTGTGTGTGCAGTTGGCAAGCAGTCATTATGGGATTTTGTTAAACTCAAGTATAGAACCCGGAAGCCTGAAAACTGGCAACAGTTAAGGCCAGCTGAATATGGATATGTTACGAGTGTTAAGCTCTTATTAAGCCCAATGACATTCTGTCATCAGGCAGGCATTAATGAATAAGCTCCTTCCTAGGGACAAGTTATGGCCTGAATCCCAGCCACTTCCAATGAGAGGTACTATCAACAAGGTTAGCAGCCAGAGCATGCTTGCAGCCTTTTTCTCTGATGATCTCCTACCAAAAACTATCACAAATTTTCTTTTAATATGCATTCAGTGTCTTCATATGTAAGAACTGCAGCTATATCAATTTTATGTAAATGTTAATACACTTTAGTGCTTATCTAATTACTTTAAAAAACTAAGTTATGTTAAAATGAGAATGCTGCACTAATGGGAAAAATGAAAATTTAGGAGGGCACCCCTATCTGATTGTCATTCAGTTGTAACAGTATCAGACACCGATTGTACCTACATGCGTATATGTTTTGCCAGGAGTTAAAAATTTATTTTTATTAACATATAGTTCTTTTCCACATGAACAAGAAAATAATTGTGGAAAGATTAATGAGTCATAACAAACTTTGCATTTCAAACTGATAATGATAAATACAACTCTCCTTTTTTATTATTACCTAAACAAATAATACAAAAATTATATCAGCACACACGAAGAGATAGGGCAATGCAAAATTTAGAAAGTCATAGGACAGAAGGGGTGTGCACGGAGAGGCAAAGCCAAGCAATCATTAGGAGATCCCCAAGGTCTGGCTCAATCATAATATAAACAGTAGTCAGATGTTAATAAGTTTCAGGTGTTTCTTTCACCTAATTATACATATGATGCTTTCTACTGTGGCATGAGTCTTTTTCAGGGCTCTAACTTGGAGACAATGTTCTTCATCCCCAAATTCAGAATATCCTTTTTACCCATAAATAATGTAAGAGAGGACTAAGTTTTGTTCCTGTTTTGACACCTTGTTCTCTTTCACCACCAGACAGCACACTGTGATGGCTGAGAGTAAACCAATTTCTTAATATGTGTACAATGACCATGTGTGCTGGCTGCAAAAACTTCTCACTTGAAAAAGGAGCTACATTATAAAGTTATTATTAAGTGTGGAGTAGAAGTTTCCATGGAACTTACACTCCTTCTCCTAAAGGAGGTCAGCATGGGAGTAGATGGCGTGCTCTGATAAAACATGCTGCAGTTGACCTGAGTAGGAAAGTAAAACACTTTATCCAGATAGGTTTGAGTGCTTTTCCGCTGCAGTCTGATTCATGGACTGTCCCAGTATGTAGGGGATGGCCCACCTCATAGTTTGTGATTAAGCTTACTACCTAACCACTGGCTGCTCTTGCCAGTACAGCTGAGGCAACTACCCATACCAGCAGGCTAAGGAAATTCTCAAGATAAATATTACCTGCCCTCATTTACAGGAAAAGAGGTATAACATGGTGAACAACTCGCCTGGCTTCTAGCAGAGAAGCAGCATATCATGGAGAGCGCTTTTTCTGATTATTTCCGTATCAAAGGCACTGACTTCATTTTACCTAGGAATCTTGCCGCTTTTGATTTTTTTCTGTGCTTTAATGTCACCTCCATATTAATTGTCTACTATAAAAGAAGACTTGAGTAAAGATCTCCAATACCAAGAACAGGAAAGCCACGTTCAACATACCTTTTCTTACTGTCTCTTTTTGCTGTTTTTTCTAAAACTGCTCTTCGTCGCAGGTAGTCATTTTGGATTTCATTATACTTTGCAGTGTGCTCTTTGATAAGGTCAGTAGTTTTCTTGTGGTGCCTCTTTACAAGGTCCTTCATTTCTTTGTAGTGCTTCTTCTGAAGCTTAACAAAAGACTTCTGTTGTTTTAGCTCCTCAATAGTCTGTGCTTCCACTTCTACAATGATAATAACAAAAGCCACTTCAATTTTCTAATAACGTACGATTTCAATCGGAGAATTGCTATTAGCAGGGATGAAACAAAGCATGCTTTGTTTACTGCTGGTAAATGAACAGACTGGAATGTATGAGGCCAGCAAGTACTTCCACAGTCTAGGCCAGCCTGTTTCTACCGCACATGAGGGATGCTGACTAAGAGGCAATCAACACGCAGAATTTCATGTGTCTTTCCTGTTTTCCACATCCAAATGTAGGTAGGCCTACACAAGATTTGGATGTGGAGTAGGTTCTAATGTAGGAGAATGACTATAAAATAAATGGACTTATGAGATTTGCAATCTAAACTATAACGCCAAGCCAGAGGACGTGACTCCCAACAGTAGGGCACTATCTAACTGACAGACCAGCTTGCTTGATGTAATGGTAATTTCAATTTTCTAGGAGCAATGGGAACACTGCAAGGCTAATGGAAATAAAATGGTTTCACTACTATTCACAATATTCGGAGCAAATTTAGCTTCTGTTCTCATAATAATGCTGGCCTTTTGTCTGCAATATTTTTAAAAAATTCCCTGTTGGCAACCAATACCAATCTCATGAAACATGTGCTCAAACATTTAATAACTTCAAAGCTGAGGAAGAAAACATGGTATGTACATTTTCTGTGAGTTACTGCAGTCCTAATCACTCAAAGAAATGTCTAAGCCAGATGGCCTGTTTCATAAAAAATGTTTCTCTTGGCAAAGAAGTCTATCATTCATGCAGTGTAAACTGTATATTTATTACCTGTGAGGACACTCTGAATAAGATCTTCTGTCTTTGCAGGTGCTTTCACCGAACCTAGAGGTGAAAGAGATGACTGATTCTAATTCTTTTAAAGCAACAGCCATTATTGTGCTGTTTGATCGCATATTAAAACATCACAGGTGACACAGGACATGTGCTGACATGGGCATTTATTAATCATTTGAGAAAACACAACTCCTGAGCAGAAGAGTAGCAACATGGAGAACAACACCGATCCCGTGAACCAACACGAAAAGGTAACCTGCTGAAAACGCACCTGAGCTTTGTTGTTTTACTTATGAGGAAGATGTAATTGAACTCACTGATACCACTCATATGAATCACTTAAAAGGTATTAGACTGATGGTTAATACAGGTTAGTACAACCGCCCTATATTATGATGTCAGTGCAAAATACATGTACATAAGATGAATCCAGCTCCTTGTAAGTCAGTTAGATCAAGCCTATGGCGACCGCAGTCATAAAATTATAAACACTGGTTTGTAATAGGATATATGTCAATACAAAATATGTAAGTACCTAACACTGTATTTTGTGTGTGGAATAAGATGTAACTACATGCATAAAATAAGCATATTTGTAAAAACAATTTAAAGAGACTCCTGCATTTGCAAAAAACACCCAAAGCAGCAAATTTTCTTGCTTGTAATGAACTTCAGTTTCACCACAAAAGCAACTCTTAAATAGAAGATACTTGTATGTTTGAGGAAGACTGGCCCTAACAGCATACTAAAGTAGTGGGAAAATGTCTTCCTATTTTATACAAACAAAACACACACACACAAACCAGCTTTGTTCTTTAAACGCAAAGCACATGAAAAAATATTATGCAGATTTGTTTTGAAAAGATGGGACTTTTTTGTCTTCCATTGTGTTTTTTTACCTGGTGCTGGTTGGCTATGGACAACCTGAGTTGCTGGTTTCGGTGTAAGAGAGGCAGTGTAATTTACTCCATTTTCTGCTGGTGTTGGCCTAGGTTCATTGTTAGCTTCGCATGGTGCATCTCCATGGTCAATCTGAAAATACATAATGATTTATATTACTCTTCCCAACTAACAGACTTTAAATTATTTATTTGCAGGTCTAGCTTAGGCTCTTTTTTAAAATGTAAAATGCTTTTTATGAATGTTATATATAAATCATTCTGAAAAGAAAACAAGCAAACAAAAAAGTATCATTAAGAGCCATGGTAGTCCAGGTGGTTCAGTTTTGCAGGGTAGATTTCAAGGAGAAAAGGAGCATGTATTATTCTGAAAAAGTACTTGTATTTTAAGTGGATATAACTCATCAGGGACGTTTTTCAGTACAGTATATATTAGCCGCACCAGATGTGAAATCTGTATTTTATTGAAAAACATTGTTCTCTGCCATAAAACCTTTCTAGAAATAACGTAGAAGCTGGCATGAAAACGCTGCTCAAATCCCTGCTGTGTACATGCTTTCTTCACAAAATCACTTTTAAATTTCATAGATACACACAGCACTATCATTATTCACCGTTCTTACAGAACACAGACATACTTCTGATTCCCAAGATCTTACATTCTTGTAATTACACTCCAAGGATAATATGTAAACACTACCTCCATCCTGCTGCATAAATACACCTGTGGTATCCAAATATTTAAGCATTTTCCACAATCTTTTCTTTCTCTCCGGTTTCCTAAACCCAGGCTTACAGCATACGTTGTACTACGTATTGAGCATCTTATAATTTTCCTTATGACCATCAGGTTTTAAGCAAGCACAAAGCACTCAGCAAACAGGTCATTCAAAGCAGTTTGTATTTTGAAATGGCCAAGCCCCCTTCCTGCAGTCCCTGCAAGGGGCCAGTTGCCATGGTGTCTCAGGGTACTTTTGGATTTGTTCCTTCAGCTGCTTCCATTTTACTCTGACGGTAATCACATTACATGCAGAGGCAGGATGCCACAATTGTTGGTTTTTTCCCCTTGATTACTCCATACTTGCAAAATACCAGCCTGCACTGCATCAATAGAGACAAAACACACTTTGATCTGTTTTGTACTGCTCCTACTGCTGCTTTCCTTCATCTTGGCCCTGACAACATACTGTATATTGCAAAAGGATTTCTGTCTCAACAGCCTATTTCTACCAAAATTATAGGAGAGAGATACTCTAGTCAGAAACATGATGCAATTGCAAACCAATGCCAAGGATGTCATTTATGTCAAGCAGTTTTGCAGGAATGACTGCAACAAAATAACGAAAAACATGATCTAGCCAACATATATGACAGTAGAACAATGTTACTGGTAAAAGCTGTAGCTGTGACAAACACACACAGACATGGTTATCCCCTCAATTCTCCTTAAAATATACTCCTCACAGGATGCAATTCATTAATTTAATAAAAACGTTTGCTATAAATCATCAACATTTAATACAAATAAAGACAGAATTCCTAACTTCTGGCAAGTTTGTGCCCCAAAAGCCACTGCATGGGAAAGAGGGTATTATCTTTTTTTTTGTGGGACTAGGTTTGTGTGTGGTGTGAAATGCTGCATCACAGCTTGCTGAAAAACTATTAATACAGCCTGTCAGTTTTGGATATAAAACATCTGTTTTCACAAACTAAAGCAGAAATGTGAGACAGGATCAGGAAGTGAATAAAGAGTAATTTTCACTGCATCAAGCAATCTAATCTCATTAAAAAGCACTTTCTCTTCTCATAATTCATCACACAGAACGCTAAAGTAAACATGATTTTCCCTTAGTGGAGAATATTTTAGTCTCTTTTAAAAACATGATATAATCCAGCCTTATAATTTATAGTTTTAATATTCACAGAAAATGATTTCTGTTGCACATGTTGCCATGTCTTTTGCAAGACACTATGTTTACTAAGTAGAAAGATACATAGGTACATATCTACATGGTCTATTTTAATTTTTTACAGAGAAAAGGAGCTGCCATATACTGGGGTTGGGAGATCTCCTCCAGTATTGAGTATATCCGTGCTGCACTGATAGACTAGGTGGGCAGCTCTTGAGTCAGTTTGCCTCTATCCTCCTTGGCAAAGTATAAACAAGTGTAAGCAAGGTCTCCCTATAAGAAGTGTCAGATCAACTTAATTTCCATTACTGTAACTTGGTGTGATCATTATAATTTGCAGAATTATGCCTGAATAGTGGTATCAGATACACTAAGTGCAGCTGCTCTCCTAGAAATGTTTTCATTTACTTTCCCTATCAAAGTAATTTTATTTAAGCAAAGAAGCCAACTGGAGTGATTACACACGTTTGATTTATATCCAGGCATGCAAAACAATGGTTTCTGTTTCAACACTGTTTTATGGGTAGAAACAAAAGGTCAGATGCTCTGCTGCTTCCATATTAATGCAGACATATTAATGAGCCAGCAAGGACTCCCAACTCCCTGACCCTGCAGTGGGAATTAACACGCTGCCCCAGAGACATTACACCAATGTGTAAATAAAATAAAATAATTTTATAATTTTAAATAAAAAAAAAAAATAAAATGCATTTCATTCTGGCTAGTTTTTCTTAGGCCCCTACACACTTCTGCTCCCATGACTGCGGGGATGAAAACGTACAAACTACTTACATCAACCTAGTTTAGGCTGGGATTAATTCATCCCAAGGAACTCCCAGATACAAATTGCTATGGCTTACTCCTCCTGTCGGTAAAGGACACCAGGCAGGGGAAGGGAGGGCAACCTTCACTACTTGTACGCTCGTGAAGATTTACCATGTATTCAGGTAAGTACAGTACAGTTAAAGGTGCAAAACCCACACTACAGGTATCACAACACTTCCATTCTGCAAAAATTGCTGTTCTAAGGCCAGGCTGGAAAGCAAGAACTGGAAGTTAGGTACTGACCAGAAAACCAAAGATAGGGATTCACATTATGCTCATGATGGGAACATTGCAAATAAATACAGAAAAGATGCTGTAAATTTTGTCAGTTCTTAAGCATTCTTCATTTATGTTATTGCACTGATAATTAACAGGCAGTGTAACTTGAAGCCTAAAGAAAGCTAATTTATTTGTCTAAAATGATTCACTATTAGGTAACTTATTTGACTACTGTCTTGCAAGAAGCCTGGGGAACTTCTTACAAAGATGCAGTTTAAACTTCTAGGTAGCAAAGAAAAAAACTCTGTTTTCCTGTGACAGCTGATAAATAAA